CTCATCAGCTCCAAGAGTGCCTTTTCACAAACAGTCTGCCTTGCTGCGATCACCGTGCAGCCTGCTGCCAAGACGACGAACGCGATCGACAGCCTTGTCATTGCGCTGTGAGCAATTGTATCCGGAGTCCCAAATTTTGCTTGAAGCTCTCGTGCTGCTGTCGAGAAAATTTTCGCTGCAAAGATTTGTAGGTTGTACACTTCTACATATTCGCCCTTCAAAGCAACAGCCCCTAGTTGCCAAGGAGCTGTAAGACCTTTTAAACAAAAGCATGTCGTCATGTCGACTTCAATCATTACTTTGTCGTGAAAGTTAGCAATGCCCTGACACGTGTACATGCCTCCCACAACTCAGGACGGACCTCGGGTGGCGCATCCCCGTGCAAACGGATCTCATCATCCCGGATGGCCTCAAACGACGCAGGTCTCAGGTCTCTATATAGGGTTAGTGCCGAAGCAGCAGGAGCAGGAGGCAGGACAAGCAAAAGTAAGAACCAACGGTGCACTGAACCAAGTGCAAGAGGCAGCCAAGCATTCCGACAACGAAGTTGCAAGACCGTCAAGACGGGTCGTCGTCGACGCAGGGTGATGTCACTAGTGCTTGTTCCAGCCTGCATCCTCATGCGCATAAATCATACGCCGGTCTCTTGCTACGACGGTCTTTGATGCATTTGGACCACATATGTATCACCACTCTTCGCTTGAGAACAATCACCATGATCTGCGTAGCCGGCGGCTCTGCGATATTGATTGATGATGAGATTAGCTTGCATCGCTGCTTGCTTTATGATCGCGGATATCTGCATTTCTGATCTGTTGCAGGTACCGTTTCCACTACCGCACCTAGAAACAACTTGGGGCGCCACCCCCTTGCTTGAAACTTGGGTGGTTTCCCAAGTTCGGGGTTCGTCTTTTTTTTTTGCGGCGATCCTCAAAATAAGAATTCTACCATGGGGCCCCCAGTGGCCTGAAAATCCCAGGTTGACCCTGGGCTGCCGGTGGCCTCGTAAATGTCGCGCAGAAAGTACGCTGGCATGTCCTGGAGTCCGACACCCTGAACGCTAGGATCGACAGGCTTCCGTTGCATGTTCAGCTGTGCCTGCGAAACCGCGACATTCAGGGCAGGGATTTTCGGCCCTAACAGATCTTGCAGGAATTCCTGACATCTAGGGATCGACACCAGGCAACGCAAGTGCTGGCATATGATACTGCAACGCTATGTCGACTCGAAGAAAAACTGACGAATTAATAACAAACACTTGTATCTCCCAATATGGCTTCTCAAGACATCAGACAGGTTCTACCGAGAGCAATACACCTAAATCCTACACTTCCCCTAAAGCATACAGCTGGCCGAATAGGTCGACAAGGATATGATCCCAGTGTTTGGAGGCTTCTAACATGAACTCCGAGATTAGGCTTCCAGTTTTGGGGAAAAAGGGGCCTGGGGTTCGGGGTCTAGGAGTCTAGGACATGTAAGGCTCAGGGTTTAGGCTTTAGGACTTCTGGTTGAGGCTCTAACACCAGTTCCTAAGAGGCTTCTCTCTGAGGTGCACAGCAAACCTGAGTGGGAGTCTAATCTTCAGGGCTCCTAGAAACGGCTCCGGAATGTAACAAAAAACCCCTCAACTGGATGTGGTAATCTTGCGAATGCCCTGTACTGAATCTCTGCCAATTACTGTAAGATACCTGTAGCTTTAGCCCAAGCTCTCCGGACTACCGGCGCCCACTGATACCACTTCGGGGCCTTATTCATCAGAATGGGGCGTTGGGATTGTAGTATAGCATAGTTACACAGGAACGGTAAGAGGATATTATTAACACAACCCCTGGACCTCGATTCTCAGGTGAAGTGTCCTTCCCCGAGTCGATTCCACGGTTGTTCCCTCGGTCGATGGGTCTGGGTGAGAAACCGGGCGCCCAGGACACGAAATACATATTGAGTGTAACCCTGCTCCCTAAAGACGTTAAGGGCTTAATGAGCTAGGGTTGGAACATGGATTGGAACTACAGCTAGTATCGCAGCGACTTTTGCGATACTTCCCATCGCTACTTGTTGTGCATTTTCGCTAGTGTTGGTAGTACTGCTGCAGTTGTCCTTAGGGCAGGCTTGTTCCATCGCAGTTGACGAGGAGTCATTTCTAGGGCTCGATCAAGCCAGGGGAAGCCCCTAAACCCTAAACCCTAAACGCTAAACCCTGCACCTTAAGACACAGACGCAACCCTTGGCTGGGCACAAGACGCACGAACTCCTCGAAGCTCATCTTCTTCTTGACTCCCGGATTATGCCTCGTGCTTGCAGGGCTTAGGGACTACGTTGTTGAGGTTTGTTGTTGGGGTTTAGGGTGTAGGGTTTAGGGTTTGGGGGGAATTAGGGTTTACGGTTTCGGGTTTAGGGCGGCTCTTGATTTTGGGTTGGACCATGGAGCCTCAGCCCCTGGCGCGAGGCAAGAGCATCTCCCATTCACCTCCCACTAAACCAAACTAAATCCAAACACTCAAACATAATTATCCAGGCCCCCTGGCCCCGAACCCTAAACTCAAAACCCAAAGACTCAAACATACTTATCCAGGCTCCTTGGCCCTAAGGCCCTAACCCTAAACTCTAAACCCTCTAGCAAGCCTGGGGCCCCGGCAAATCCGTGTTCAGCATGATGATGGAGAAGGCCAGCACGAAGATCGTGTCCGAGCTCGTCTGGTAGGGTGCAGAAAGGCCCCCAAACAGCGTACTTGCAGATTATGGCAGCGTTTAGCGTGCAAATCCAGGCTTGGACGAAGATGCTCTCAGGACGCTGCCATTGGTACTCGACTGGGCTCCTCGCAGGACCACTGTATCTGGGGGGGTAAGATTACTCAGCAACACTACCCCCTCGTTTTAGTCCCCATGCGATACTAAGGCCCTTATGGTAGCCGGGTCTCCGGATCAGAAGATTTAGGAGTTCAGAGTATAGGCTTGCGGGCTTGGCGACTGAGGCTTTCTACCTGTTTTGGGGTATCGCTCCGACCCTAAACCCTAAAGCCCTAAACCCTACAGCCCTAAACCCTAATACCCTAAAGCCCTAAAGCCCTAAACCCTAAAGCCCTAAAGCCCTAAAGCCCTAAACCCCTAAAGCCCTAAAGTCTGAAAGGGTTCATGGCCCTACATCCACATTCCACAGGACACGGGGCTCCGGTCCCTTCCGGCGACTCCGCTCTTGTTGGCAAACGAACGGTGTGTCGTTGCTGTTAGCAAGGTTGGCAATGCTTCTGCAAGCATGATAGGGTATGGGGTCTATAGGGTTTAGGGTATTATAGGGCATAGGGTTTGGGGTTTAGGGGTGTATTCTAGGGCATAGGGTTTAGGGTTTAGGGGTGGAGTATAGGGTATCGGGTTTAGGGTTTGGGGGTGGAGTATAGGGCATAGGACTTTGGGTTTAGGGATGTATTATAGGGCATAGGGTTTAGGGTTTAGGTGTGCTGCACTTGTTCGAGGTTTCGACTGGCAACTTCACCCATGAGACTGCAACTCGGGGACGTTCGAGCCCAGCAAGTAAACGAACACGAACAAATGCGTGCCGTGAGAACGCAGGGCTTCGTAACAGCAGCACAGTACATCATAGCAAGATGAGAAAGAGATTACCCAAAACTCCTTAATTTTCCGGGTCTATGTATTTGAGGGTTTCAAACGAAAAGTCACGGTAAGTGCACGCTCTCGGCAAACTTGACAGATTACAACAAAGGCTTTCCGTTTAACGGCATGGTGCTACACAATGGGACCAGCAGGGAACCTAGTCTATAACAACCACTGGAAGACCCAAATCGCAACTAAGCCCTAACACCGTGCGCTCTAGATAAACCCTCCTTCCATGCAAAAAAAGGTCAGAAACCTCAAAGCCTAAACGGCCCTAAACCCTAAACTCCCTAAACCCTAAACTCCCTAAACCCTAAACCCCTAAACCTCAAAGCCAAGGCCTGGCAACCTCTGGAGGCTCCTCGCCCGCGGCGTCCTCGGGGCCCCCAGCTGTCTGCCGGGCCTCGGGTGCCTGGCTTCACGCTCCAACCGGTTTAGGGACTAGGTCCTTTAAGGCTTTATAGGCTTTCTCCGGAGTTGCATCGGGTCTTACAGCCGCGTTTGCAGGGTTGTAGAGGATGTATGGTTTTGTTTAGCTTCTTTAGGGAACACTTGTAACTCCGCTTCGAACTACCCAGGTGTAGGTACTGCCAACAGAATACACGTGTTTGAAGCAACTCTGGGGGGCAGGCGCAAGCCTGTTGGGCTTCAGGCTTACAGGGTGTGGGGCAGGCTTGGGCTTTGTGCAACCGGTCACGCAGAACACCCATAGGCCCCCATAGGCTAACCGCAAACCACCTGCAAGCAACTGCAAAACCCAAATTTACCTGCTACGATCACGACCACGAGCTTCGCAAGATCTCGATTACGCACATGCAGACCGGCGTTCGTGTTGAGGAAAGACTGGGGCTTTGGCCTCAGAAAGACAGGCTCAGTCTGTTAACCCTGCTGAGCGGCCCGGGCAACGAACGAGCCTTCTCTAGCCATAGGAAGGATAAGTTTAGATCAGGAGACCATGTCAGCACCAGACATTTCTCCTGCCAGGGTTGAGTGGTCCAGAATGGAGCTTCAGGTTGAGCTTGAGATTGTTCAGCACCGACATAATAAGCCTCGAGTACCACAAATCCGAAACCTGCCCAAACACACTAAAGTCACTAAAGCCTATAAACCCTGCATAAACCCTAAACCCTAGACCCTAAACCCCTAAGCCTAATCTCCCCTGACCCTTCCACATTCGCCACAACACCTCCTCTCCGGAGCGCTCACGTGGAATCCAGCCTTGGCCCAATTCTTGAATAGTTGGGGCTGGCTACAAAAAAGCAGCTCCTCATTTTACACACGGTCCTTCTTACGATGACTCTATAATTCGAAGGGGGCCAATATGGGCCGTTTCCCATCCCACAGGCTGGAGTAGTCTCGAGCAAAGACCACTGCTTGCAGCTCAAGAATCCTGAAGGTTTTGAGCGTACCGATAAGCAATCTGGACACCGTGGCAAACTCTATACATGCAAGTCTTCTGGATCACATGTTGACATACTTGCGATGCCAAACTTAGTTGTTGAGCCGAAAAGCATAAACTTTCAGTTCTAAAGAGGCGGCAGAATATATTATTCCCGTACGGAAACAAAGAAACGAAGCTTGATGTCAGAGTTCTCAATGGGTCTTCCTGAAGTCTGATCTTTTCATCGCCTGCACCACCTTGCCAGCCAAAGCAACGCCTCTCAAACCTCAATCACAAATCCTGACGTCCCGAACTCGTCGTAAGAAGCCAGGGCACGCGTCACTTTGAGCGGATCCTGGGGGCTAAGGCCACCCAAGTGCAGGTGGTGGGTCCATCTTGGGTTTAGGGTTTAGGGTTTT